TTTATTTGACGGTACTGTACTCTGGGGTGCTGAATACAGATTAAGAACAAGTGGAACGCGCAACTGCTCTGTCTGTATTGTATTTATGTAAACTTAGGCCCAGCACGAATTTTGACAGCTCTGTAATCTCAGGTGGAGCTCACAGAAGATGCAATGCGTGGCATCGTAACGAATACGAAGCCAAAAACGACTATCAATTCGCGTCAGTACACCACAACGCAAAGTGTTATGAATCATCATCAGCCTTTTAATGTCCCCACTGCTGGGGCATAGGCCTTCCCTTTGGATGGACGCGGGCCCGGTGCGTATTGGTGGATGCTAACGACTGCAGATGCAGCCGGGACCAAGAGCTTAACGTGCCTCCCGAAGCACGAAGGAGCTCGACATATTAATTTTTTGGTCACCCATCCAATGATCGACCACTGCGAAAATTGCTTAACTTCAACGATCGCAGCCGAACGTGCTTACAACTTACGCCATCGAGCTCCGCACCGTCGGGTTGTGAACACGGCCTGTGAATATTAAATGTTTATCAAAACTGTGGCGCCTTGTTCATACATCGTAAAAATTCTTCACAAAGAATAAAAAGCATATACTTTTGACTTCGTATTTTCTTTGGTGGCACGCATTGCACTGCACCCTTAGCACGAACCAATATCGAAATCGTAAAGTTTGCGACGCCGAAATGTCATTGTCAAATGTGTACTGATTTTTAGTTCTCGTTACGTACTTTGTGGCGCGCTGCTGTTCAAGTTTGAGTTCAATACATGAGAGACTGAAAATTTATTTACTCGAGATCCCTGTGCCGTCGGAGGGAATGTTAGGCTGCATTGGTCCCGGCCCGATTCCCTTATTCCATCCAAAAGAATCGAATAAAAGATAATTATTATTATGCATTTTGGGAATATTTTTTTTTGTTAAAAGGGTGGCAAACAAGCTTATAGCCCGCGCTATAATGGGTAAGCGCCCTACATAGCATATTGACGTTTGCGATACCAAAAATATTACTTGCACCGTTGGCTACCCTGACCTATTCCTCTACCCTGGGAAACCCTGGAACCATGCCGTCAGAAACACAACACAACACCACCAAAAGGTACTGTAACGCCCGTAGCGTTACGGCCTCCTTGATTGTGTAAACTCTTTGCTTATGTAATGCCTACGGCGGACAGGTGAATTCAAATTAAATGTCATTATTTAAAAGATTCGAATGTAGGAATCTTCTGTCTTACATCGAAGATACCAGAGATTGATTTTATTAAATTGTATTTTATATTTTCCTGAATTCAAATCAATCCAGATTAAGAATCCCAAGTATTTTTATTTTAGTATTTCCAGCAATGTTCCCTAGGTTCTTCCTTCGGGAAACCCCAGTACCTAGTGTTATTTTATTGTGATCTTCTGTGGGGTGGATGCTGTTCACTAGACGGGCGCTTCAATTCCAGCGGAAACTTCTCAATGCTCTACCTCTCTTTAGGTTTGTTTTAAAGTAAAATATCGTTAAATGAAACTAGTTTTCAACGGGTAAGATGGACTGATTTTATTTCGTAAGTCAAAATTTTTTATTCCGATGACGCGTTCCTGCATAGGGTACGAAACGTCAATAAATAAATAAAATCAGTGCATCTTACCCGTTGAAAATTTGTTTTATTAAATGAGTGATGCGCGTGAAAACCTAAGAAACAAACAAAATATCGTTGCTATCTTTAGGATTCCGTATCTCAAATCAAATCCTGTAATGCCTGCATGATTATAAGTCAATATGTTAATCAGACACGTGCTCGAATTTCTCACGGTCCGCGCGCCGTACACCGATTCGATGTTACGATAACTCCTGATTACCTCCTATCACCAGTTTGTGTGCCCACTCAGTAATTACAACCGAGTAGATACACTAAACAACAAGACAATACCTCCAAAACTGGCGGACGTCTCCAAACAATTTCCAGCTTTATAGACGCGATACAAGATTCACAATCGCTGGAGAACACAGGGGGATTTTGTGGTTACTAGATGCTTTGTCGGTTGTACATGTTAGCACCGCACACTTTCCACCGTGACCATTCAATTACGTGTAATAACTCGACCACATTGAAGCCTATCAATTTGTCCGTCAAAACGGCTGACCTTCTTAGGACGAGCTTAGATTGGTGGAAAACCTATATGTAGGCATTCTTATAAGAATTCTGCGAGACAAATGGTACCTATTTGGCTGCAAAATAAACTGATTAGTAATTCGATAAATTAGTTTAAAAAGATAGGACTTTTTTATTGTTAAATATTCTAAGTTTAATTTGTATTTGTTTTTTTTTGTCTGTTTCTTAAATTTGCAATAAAACTTGTGAAATCTTTCACTTTTTGTAACTGTACGTTGGTAACTACTTAAGTATGTAGATTTCACAAACCGAACACTGAAAATGTTGGTCGTCATCAAATTATTTTTTTACTTTGGATAAAAAAATAACCCTAAACATGGTGAGTTTCTTAATTAGGGTATGAAAAAAAAGTGGGAAGGAAAATATTAATTGAAAAATTTTATTTCGCTGTTTTGTTATTATTATTTATGATTTTAATATTGATACTCTTGTTTGTCTGCACGTGCCCTAACAGCCACACGTTTTATATTCACTTAAAAGTTTTGAAAGCAAACTTGTTAATTATGCTCGCATCAATATCGTTTACGATATTTCAAGATCGGCCCGTAACGTGTTTGAGTGACGTTACAATTTTGATGCTGCCATGATTTAAGATGAAAGTTCACTGGTTCATGCACCTCAGCCGATTATGACTGTTAGTGTCTTATCTTTCTATCGATGTATCTGCAGTTAAATTATCTAGGAATCTAATATTTTTTAGGATTTTTTTTAGAGTCATGCCTATTTATTTCAGATACTGTTATAACAGAAAAAAATGGCAAAACTATTCTTTCCTATAATGAAACTAAACAAGAAAATAAAATAGTTATAAAACTATTATTGAAGTGAAACTTCTTTGCGCACGCTTGACTTGGGTGGTAATCTGGCGAATGCGTTACGCGTTACGAAAACTGTGTTCGGGCGAGGCGAACGGGAGTTGAGTGGGGGATATAAGCAAGAGAAAACAGTGCGCGCGCACATTTTCTTTCTCTCTTTCTCTTATATCTAGTAAATGAAATATATATATGTACATACATGTATATATAGGAGCTTGCGATACAAAAAAACACTGCCTGCTCTGACCTAATCCCCTACCTCGTGGAGCCCTGGAACCTTAGACCTGACCAACCATCAGAAGGTAGTGTTACGTGACCTGTACCACTCTGTAAGGTGGAGGTTACTTCCCCAGACGGGCGCTCCAATTCTAGCGGGAAATCCGCTACGCCCTGCTTCTCTTAATTTAGATCTCGTTTTGGTTCGATGGTGTGTTATTTTATGTTTAGTTTAATATTTCTACTAAACATTCCAAAAAACATTATTATTATAAGATTTTTTGCCCACAGTTCAACAAGAAAGCCTTGGTTGTATACTGTTTCTAATGTAATGTCACAAAATAGACATAACAGAAGGTAATCTTATGTGTATACTTCACTTTGCATACCTACGATCGGCGGTCGAGCTAGGATTGTCAACATTGGCTTATGCACAAAAAACTATCATGGTAGTGGCACTCGTATCTAATTGCTTTATTTATTATCGAGAACGAAACAGAAGGAACGGATATAAATCAATAATAACTAAATCACTTCAATTTTAATGTTGATGTTATTTAAGAAATTGAAAAAAAAATACAATTCACCGCTTAATGTTGAATTCAACAAACAACCTTCTACTGAACAGATATATTTACTTGTTTTTTGTTCCTCCATTTTTGTACAAACATTTTTGTTCATAGACGCGGGTCTCAGCGCTCGCATTGGTCTGCCCCTGAAGCATGAGCACCACAATGAGTAATTTGACATTTGAGCGTCATAAAAAGGCGTTATTCTTTATATCGCGGTGCTCATGCTAGGGGGGCTGAAGTGGTTCGAGATATCGGATTCCTGAGCGATGTCTATGTGTGCGTTGCTCGAGCGCACTTTTTAAGTAGATTACCATCTGGTATGTCTATTTTGTGGTAATATTTTGCACATATTTGTAAGGTGCTGCTAATTATTTACTTTCGCATTTACTGCGCTGTTATGCTGTTAGTGTGTAATTAGTAATTTTTTCACGCTTCAAACATTACTGAGCAAGTGAGATGTCAAAATTCAATATTGCGTAAAGGTTTTTTTGTTATTCATTATAGGTGCCTACGTTAATTTGGGTCATTGGTAATAATTAATGAGAATTTACGCAAGTCTTGTTAGATGCGCTCATATAATTAAATAGGATTTTACTTACACTTGTTTATACATATTTCTTTATATTATTTTGTGTTATGTAATTTGCCTATATCCCTTCTAGGGAAAAAGGGACCAAGTTTGCAGCAAGTTTTTTTTATATATATACTAGCTGTCCCAGCGAACTTCGTACCGCCATACAAAAATAGGGGTTGGTGGTAGAAGGGTGAAAATTTAGGATTGTATGTACTTTTGTATGATGTATCATAAAAAAATAAAAACAAAAGAAATTGTACAAAAATATAAATAAAGGTTGGACCACCCTAACATTTAGGGGGATGAAAAATAGATGTTGTCCAATTCTCAGACCTACTGAATATTCATATAAAATTTCACGAAAATCGGTCGAGTCGTTTCGTAGTAGTTCAATTACTAACATCGTGACACGAGAATTTTATATATTAAATAAGATGTATATATATATATACACTCCGACTAACTTCTTGAGCAACAACCATAAACAAGGAAGCCTGCAGTAGCAAATTTGCATACAAATATTTCTATTGTGCAAGTTTATCTGTCAGTGGTTTTTCTCAAGAAATTTGCCGCTACTTAAATGTATACTTCATTTGCTAAAAAGTAATGCTTTATTAAGATTTTCCTAGAATTTCAAACAAATAAAAAACAAATATGGTGTACTAACTTTCTGATCGCCAAATCTCATCTGTCTGCGTGCGTTTCTGGCGACATTCATCCTGCAGAGGAAGACCCGATCTTCACCATCAGCTGGAGCTCTTGACAGCTCCGTCCTCACTGCTTGCTGGTCTTGTTTGTCTATGACGTCATAAACACTGTCCCCGTGGATTAAAAGGTCCTCCTGTTAAACAATGAGAAGTAAATGTTAATTTTTTTAGAGATTTTAACAGATATTCACCAAAATTGAATTAAATTTTATTTTCTGTGAATACAAATCGACTTTCACGTTACTATTTAGAAATATAAGGTTTGATTTTAAAGTGAAACTTCTTTTGCTAAGAAAAAGGTACAGGATAAGAGAGTGAGAGGGAGGGCTGAAGCGAGCGGAACATTTTCTGCCGCATCAGCGACTGGAATCCACTCACACTTAACATCAAGTGTTGTGGAGTGATTTCTCGGGCATTTTCAAACAAAATCCTGGCAACGCTAATCGCACCGTAGTCTCCATTTCCCTGTTACTAAATTGCGGTGCAGGGTTAAAAGGGGAGCTATTAACCCAACAAACACTGAACGTCGCAACGGTGCACAGGCAGTAGGTAACAAACAGAACAAAAGAAAGGCTGGTAGGAATGCTAATTACGGAACAAAACCGTCACCGCAGCCTAGGAGTTTTTATTTTTAAACAGCCTTATACTTAGGCAGATTGCTTCGAAATTTTCATCAGTAGCGCGACCGCAAAGTATATTATTTTAATCGCGCCGCGGCACCTCCGTTGTACTATGGACTTTGCATTAAACATGGCACGTTGTCACCTGTATTCCACTGGCTTAAGAGCTACATTTGATCGGAAAGTCGGAATTGTGAGATGCCCGTTCACAACACAATTGTCGGTCCCGGAATTAGAGTGTTACGAATGGAAACGTATATTTTTTAATTATTACCGCTCAGTTGTTCGAGTTTTATAAAAAATCTGAGTGAGCTATCATTAGCTTTTATACGTTTAAACGATAGATTTTATTTTTTTATTCACTAACAGCCTAAGAATAGGAAATAACAAATTGTGAACTGTTCAAAAGAGTTATTAAATTATAAAGTTGTGTAGTGGATTTTCCGCCCTGTACAGTACCTCCATCTACAGTAGATACACACTGTAATAACAGTACTTTTAGTAGTGTTGTGTTTCCATCAGTGAGTAAGAAAGGATTCAAGGCTTCGGTATTATAGACATTCCGGTATCTCAATTGTCTACTTATAGGTTATAGTGACCGTTTACCGTGAGGCGGGTCATATGTTTGTTTGTAACATATTTTACATATTACTGTTAAGATGCAAATCTTCCTCCAGTTGTAATACTGTGTATAGTCTGTTTCAAATGAATTTAGACTAAAAGTAAACAAAGAGGTAGGTGAGTCTGACCATATACAATTTAGTGATGGGGATTCATAGAGCCTTATCAAAATCAATTGATCAGTTGAATGATCATATTTATAGAAACTGTTAAGGCTTAATTTGTAGCATTAATATTTTTTTATCTTCATTACTCAAAAAAGAACTAGCTGTTAAGTGTATTCAGCAATATAGTTAACCATATTTCGTTACAAAAAAAACTCTTTTTGAACGATTGGCGTGCTTATTGAATATCTAGGTTCATCGTCGTCGTATATTTGTCAATTATTCGTCACTTCCATAGTACACTTACGAATTTGAATTTCATAAAACCTACTACGCCAAAATATTGTACATTAATTTGATAAGTTTACTTTGGGTGTATAAACATAAAATGCAGATTCAAACAAACAGACTTTTATAACCGTCATTGATAAAATTGTGAGACTTTTTCCTGATGTTAAGTACCCCATTGTGTGCAGTTTTTTAGTATAGATTTTTACTAAAAAGCAGATTCGTAAGTTTGTCGTAGATGTAACGATATATGCGTCTGTGTTATAAGTAAATCAAAACAATACCTCTTTTACATTTTAATATTCAGGATGAAAATATAATCGAATAATTTAAATACCACACCAGCCCTTAATAAGATTTAAAATAATAATAGAACCTAAAAATAAAAACAAAATATTAATTGCTCATATTTGCAACAACACAAAAATGACGTTACATAAACTGTATTATTCATTTTGTTACTTATCAGTTCGAATAAATAATCCATTCACTATTCGATTACCAACATCAATTGAAATCATTTTGAATAGACTTTTCAGTGCCAACACTGTTCAAGCATAGACAACAGACAATTCTCATCTTTCAAAATAACCTAACTTTACGACAAGTTTTTATTTTAAATTTTTCATATATTTATAAAGAAATTAGTGCTATAAAGATAGTGAATTAATAAGTCAAAACCCTAGAAATGCAAATGAATGTGTTGAGAAATCAATTTAGTGAGTCATTGCGTGGGAATTAGGAGGTAAAGTGTTTGTTTACTTTTGGTCTAAATTCATTTGGAACAGACTATAGTCATAAAGATTTAAATCAAGATTAGAAATATCCTAAAATATTTATTTATGATATTTTATATATATGTATATATACACTTCTGGACACATCTATTGGCCCACCTTAGAGTTTAGGTTTCGATGGCCCCTACCAAATATGATTGCTAGATTGAACAAAAACTGTTGATGCAGTTTTAAACCTGATACATTTTACCATCTTTTTCGATCGTATTGTTTTAAATTTGAATTCAGAATACCATACGACGTGGAGCTACGCCTAACAAGTCGGATATGCGCCTTGTTAAAGGCAATTGAGATCGACTTAAATTAAGTTGAGCACTCACGTTTCTTTGACTGTGTCCGGCCTGAATAAGTGCCACAGCTTGGGCGGCGACTTCAGGTGAAGTATCCATAGATTATTGAACCTCACCTTAATGTTAAGAATAAGTAATGTTTGTTGCAAAACCAAATATATCAATCACTTTTTCAAGAATTAAATCCAAGTAAACCAATAAAACGAAGTTTTCTTAGTATTCGATTGTTTGATATCAATAAACAGGCTCCAAATTGTCTTTTGTTTCTTTAAATTCTGTGTTCGAAATTCAAAAAAAGACTATTGAATGAAATTGTGAATGTGCCAGGTTCAAAACTGCATAAAAACTTTTTGCTCGACCTAATATAAAATTTTAGCTAGGACCAAACGAAACTGAAAATACAAGGTGGGCCAATAGATGTGTCCAGAAGTGTATATAGTTATTACAAACGAGTGGACGAATGTAAGCCCGAGATGAAGTCGAAGGCTTACCATAGTCACGAGTTTGTGAATACTATTTCCGCACGAATGTCATACAAAGTTTATCAAACACATTTCCGAGAAAACAGTATATTTATTTTAAGTAACAAAGCAAACTTTTTCTAATAAGAAAATGCCGAGCTTTTCCGAATAGCGGGTGGTGAAAATTTTGGTCTCTTTTTCTTTTCAGTAGTAAAGTGAGACAAAGCTATAGATTAAAGCGCGCCCAAGCAGGTTCAACCAAAATTTACCGTAATTTTGAACTTTCGAACAATACAACAACCTTTGTAAACAGGTGTATAATTATGGATTTTTTGAAACGAACCCCTTATGTATTTGGGATGCTATAATAATTATTTCGCCTCTAATAAGGTGAAAAACAAATGAAAATAATGCTAATGAGGCAATATTATCATAAAAATTTAGCAGTAGCTTTTATAAAACCATTTATTTTGAAGTAAAGTGTTGAAAGGTCTAGTATTGGGAGGAGATAATTTTGATCATTAGAGAGATTAGGTTGCATGAAGATATTGACTATCTTAAGATATGCAACTTAATCTCTCTCTCTATGATCAAATTGATTTCCACACAATAAATTTGATTAAGTATATTTTCATAACAATTATGTAATTTTTGTATTACTCAAATTGAGGAGCTCGATGGCGCAGGTGGTTAGCGCGTTTGGCTGCGATCGTTTTAGTTTAGCAACTTTCGCAGTGGTCGGTCATTGGATGGGTGACCAAAAATTTCTATCTAGAGTTCCTCCGTGCTTCAGAAGGCACGTCTGCAGTCGTTAGCACCCGCCAATCCGCACTGGGCCCACGTAGTGGGTCTTGGTCCAATCTCCCTATTCCATCCATAGGGAAGGCCTGTGCCCCCGCAGTGGGGACATTAAGAGGCTGATGATGATGATGAATCAAATTGAAAAATGGATAGTTCTGGCAAACTATTCGGAAAATACTTGTATATTTTTTTTTTCAACGTATACATAATGGTACTAATATTATTTTATTTTTCTTATGCCATCTGAATGATGATTTATGCTGGGCAGACGATGCCCCCAAAGAGATTTGCCATTAACTTCTTGAACACGTAACAATACTTTTTAAATCATCGAAATCGGTTCATTGGTTGCGATTTTATTATTAATTTTGTGGTAGCCAACATTCACCGGCGGCCGAAACATGTGACATCACTGAACTCGATCGTGGTTCACTCCGGTGTCACTTCAGTAGCGTTTTTACGCACGCTCGCGCCCGAGCGCTAGAGCTCTGTGACGTCACAGCCACCACGCGGCCAGCTAGGTTCTAGTGGGATTTTCAAAAAATCAAAGTTAGTACAGATAATATAAATGTTTGCACGTTTTGTATGTCTATTCGGTTTTGATTGAATATTTGTTATCCAATCACGCGAAAACATTGAGCGGTTAGTAATTTTGGAATTTTGAAATATAGGATAATTTTCTTTAAAAAAATTGAAGCCATTATTAATATTGTTACCTTTAAGAGTAAAATAAAAAAAAATACATTTACACCTGAGTGAATTTTTTTATGAGCATTGATTAGATGGCGTGATACAATGAAAATCTCCTTCTTAAATGATAACACTCCATACGAATAAGTATACTAATTTCATTTGTAAATACGGAACAGAAAGATTTTTTAAATTAAGTCTTTTAAAAAGCTTTCCATAGCATAAGATACTTCACTGAACTCCAGAAAATGGCCATTCACATAACTTACCATCTCTCAATATACCAAAACGAACATTATACAAAATTCAAAGCGTAAATATTATAATTTCTTTGTTTCTATAGCCTAACGTGCTGCATAAATAGATATAAATAAACAACTCAACTCCCTTGAACGGAGGCATGTGCTTTATGAGTCTCTTTAACAAACATTTCAATCCGTACACACAAAGAAACGCAAACAA